ATCACCTTTGAGGGAAGCAGGCGCAGGTTTTAAGTAATCCTCTTCTTCCAGTAAAGCATCTTCGTCGATCAAATCCTCATCATTGGCACTTATATTCCAAACTTTCGGTTTTGGAATAGACTGTGGCAAATTTAACGGTACTGTAGCACCGACGCTAATATTAGGCTGCAAAACAAACCATAAAATAGGCAACCTGACGTTAAACATAACAAGATTGCAAGAGAAAAAAAAAACAATGGTTTTTTTGAAAAAGGAAATCGTCTGTTTCCGGGAATAGCACATTCCGATCGAATTTCGCTATCAACAGAAACTCAATGAATAATTTCTAATGCATCCAATATATTCTGCTAGCGATTACAGTCGTGATGAAGGAATGTGTGGGAGCACTTTCGCGCAATTCAAGGCAGAATCTCCGCCGAAAAAATTATACGATTGCAGACAAACACCCAGCTTTTTAGCTCGAATATGCAAAAAAAGACCTTTCTGCAGTTATAGTTCTGCCAAACGTCATCACCGGCTTTAGTAGCATCCAAAAAGCCGGCTAATTTTATCTCCCGCAGAACGAGTGGCTCATCGAGATCTACAAAAATGAAAAGTTTCTTTTCAAATGCCATGATAAGTATAATGATTATATGAAAATTTTAACAAAAAGGGTAATTTTAGGAGCAAAAATAGAAAATCTTTTGGTAGAAAATGAAAACTAATGGAAAAAAAAACATACTTTTTACAAACAATTTGATGGAGGAATTTGGCTTGGCTGCAAGGAAAGCCGATCGAAGTGAAGTCTCCAGTGACGAAACATTCGTTGTAAAAATTATAGCAAAATCATATTTTTCTCGTTCAATTTCACTTCCTGCAAGTGCTAAACAGTACTCGAAAACTTGGATTTTAATAAAACCGGTTAATCACAAAATCCGACTAGATCGTAGCTGGGGGCGCATAAGGATATAATAGCTAATCTAAGCTACCCGGACAATCGATGTAAAGCCTTCGAGGCTCTTGCGATGCACTAAAAAGCTCAATTAAACTAATTCAAAAACTCGAAATCGCCACTAACCTCGTTCAGGCGTACGTACGATCAGTTCTGGAAAGCGATTTTTAAGTTGATCGATGCCAATCAAAAAATCACTGCCAGAGGTCCCTGCAACAAAAATAGTCTTTGATGCACTTCCATCTAATAAATTTACCGTTTTATACCTTCATCCGCAGTTCAATCTGTTCCTCTTACGCTAGTTTAACAACTTCAGATTTTTACGACTTCATAAGAAGTTTTTGACCTATACATTGTACACAATCCTTTACGGTTCTGCAGTTTCCATTACAAAACGTCGTCCAATTCAACACGAACATTCCCATTTGGAATGATTGGTTCCTGGTTGGCCTTTA